ATTTTGGTAATAACTAAATAAGCTGTTGGGGATCGTTGATAAATGGATGAGTATGTTAGAAATACATTTGGCAACTTTATACGGATATTCCCATCTGAATGTCGCGAAAGTAGCAACTAGGTGAGTCTAGGGAGTTGCTGAATACATTTCCCAAGCTAATTGTTGCGTATTGGTTGGCCAAGTAAATATTTTTGAACAGTTTATTACTCTTTATATCGCACTCTCCTTTATTATTGACTGATTAATTAATGGAACAGTATTTAATATGAGGAATTTTCGTAGAAACACTTGCCTTACACGATAATAACAATCTGATTGGAAGTATATCTTTCGAATCACTTATGCAAAAACGCTTGATATCATATAAAGAAAAAAGCCAAGGTATGCTTAAACCTGTATGACAATGCGAGCCATAGTAGGACGTGAGAAACGTTTAAACGGACTTTGCTTTCTAATGTCGTTTACACTCTGTGATAACAATTGCATAATTATATAATTAACTCTATTTGTAGAGCCGCTTCCCCAAAGAAGTGGAACATGTGCTCGTCCTTGTAATCGAAGTAATACCTATCAAAAATATCGAAGAAATAAATGAATGCTACATCATGGTTATGGCTGAGAATTCAACAGACTTCTTGAAAGAATGCTAACTTTTTGTTCCAAAATCATTCGTTTAGCTACTCTGCCTTTTCGCATTTTTAGTTCTGTTTTTATGGCTACTCCTTTCACCTCTTCGCCTCGGCTATCAACAGCAAAAAAAATTTGACCATATCCACCACGGCCTATTAGCCCCTACAAATGACAAACAGACACTTTCTGACTTTCATTTTGAAATCACTGTCGAACAATTCTTTCTTTTTTTTGCCAATCGATACGAGTGTATTTTCGAAATTAGCACAAACGTTTGCATTTCAGCATGAATTCTCGTTCAGTCATCAAACATCTTCACGATTAGAAACTTAACTGATAGAGTAGCACCTATATCCAACCTTTTTTTGTGTCACTATCCACTTAGCCAAGAGATCGGAAGTTCTAGCAGAAACCTTGGCTGGATTTGTCGAAATGAAACCTGTTTAAAGTTCTTGCAAATAAGACATACGCTTATAATCCATCGTTCCGCAACAATGTCACCAATTTTGAACAATGGTACCGTTGTATTTCGTTTCTTCAATTTTGGATAAAGACGCGCAAGACACCTGAAAATTTTATTTATATTATTTATAAATACTTATTCATCCCATTACACTCAACTCTAAAGGCTTTTCTGTCGCCACGAAATTTTAAATCCATAGGAAAACATTTTGGAACTGAGAATCTTTATTTACCACCATGCGAAAGATGATTACAGCTCTCTAATATTCTGTTTGTTCAAGGAGAAGGAGAGAAGGAAAGAAGGAGAAATGAAATTTGTCAGCTAAAAGGATAACATTCCACCTTTAGCGAGCCACAAAGCGGGTTCCACTTCCAAAATATTTCGGATAGGGATGCATTTCATAAAGCTCTCTCACCTACAGTTTCTCATCTCATAAAACTCCTGTAATTTGTACCAGTGATGTGAAATACAAACACTGGTATATTTTGTGATATTTGTGTCGATATCTGTGTAGCATTCGTTTGTGAATTAATAGCCATTATTTGAACAGCAAATCACCACTTCTAGTGACATCAACCTTTTTTTAAATCAGCCGATCATACTAAAAATGATCAAAAACGCAATTATTCATGTATTTCTAGTTCTTCCGATCAGGAAATTTGCATTCGATTGGCGTAAACAGAAAACACAAATTGATCCGGAGATTAACAGGATTACATTGGATTGCTATTAATAAGACTACCATATGATTTTTCAGCCATCGTTCAGCACATAAGTCGCTCAATTTCACAATCACTAAAAGAAAATAAAAAGCTTATTCTGCAATTCGAGTTAATATTATTTTAAATGAGATTGCCTCAAGTCAAACATAGACACATTTCTTGGCTTGATGTTTCATTGGAATATTATTGCTAAGCAACTCATTCATCGACGATAGATAAAGATAATAAAAGAGGATACATTTAACTCCAATACGTCGCTGATTGGAAACTGAAAATAAAGTACAGTAACTTCACAGTGAATCAAACTTAGTTACAAGACTTCTTTACTCTGATAAACAGTTTGGTGGGGTATAGTGAAGCATCTCTCTGTTGCGATGAATCGCATCAATATACAATGAAGTTCACAGTACAACACTTCTGGCGAGTAGCAGTGATGGGTCGCAAATCTGAGTTAGTAAATCGCAAATTTAGGAGTTAGTGAGTCGCAAATCGGTGGGTTGCTAGTTGTTTGGAGGGAATGAACTGCTAATTTCATCTGAATAAGCACAGCGGGTGTTTCGAATAGATGAGCTGAAAACTGTAGTTGAATCCTAAGAGATTGATCGTAAAAAGAGAAGCTAGCGATGTACCGTAGGAAATTTGCGGTTGTTTTTAGCTCGTGCCATAGTTTTTTGACATAACAACAACGAAGTGGACCGAAACAGCATGAACTTCGAGCTAATCTGTAACGAGATGCTTGTACCGCCAATTATAGCGGTCTTTATTAAACCAACTGATAGTGATAAAATTCTTGCTAGAACACAGCATATTTCTAATGGCCCTCTCTATTTTTTGATACCGATTAGGTTGCATTTGCAAGTAAAAGGAAAGCAAAGAAGTCAATAACTGCTGCACCTGAATTCATAGATTTAGCAGAAGAGTAATCATGTTTGTGATAAGAAGTTAATGTTATTATATTGAAGAGCAGATATGAAAGAATTAGTGACAGCAAGTACTAACACAAATTTTAGGAATTTAAAAACTAAAAAATAATAAGAAGTGTTTGCTTAAAGTTCATTACTGTACGTCTCCTTGCATATTTACTGTGAGAAAACGACACAGTATTATTTGACTATTCTATAAGGTCTTAGTAATGAAATTTTGATAAAAATTTTCCATTTTAAAAAGGTCTGTTTCGAAAATTTACTACTTCCTGGGCTCATATATACCACATTTTCTGTAACATCCCCTTTACCGTTTTATGGACTAGCAAAATTTGTTTCCAAATCTTATATTGATCGTTTGATGTTGACAACCAGGAAGTACTTTTGCAGCGTACACGATAGTGGGTGTAAATTTCGTTTTAAAATATAAAAACAAGCAGACTGATGGGTCGAAATAAAAGAGATTCTGACAAATAAGGAATTCATCCAAAGTCAGAGAGCAGCTTCACATGGTGCTTCGAATATCTCAATCAATACAACGAGGTGTACTTATCCACGAAGAACACACATATGAAGCTACTGACTGTCCTGGCCTTTGTACTGCTCAAGGAAATAAGATAAAAAGGGATATAGAGACAGGAAGGGAATCATGATAATGGATATAACATACAGTTGAATAAGTCACTGATCTGTAAACCATTAGATAAAAACTGTTGAAGTAGGAAATGAGTGAAGTAATACTAACACTTCATCTTCAGTTAATCTGGAATGCAGTATATACGAGTTACAAGAAATCTCAGAAAAACCGGATGCCGCATCGCCTAATCTCAAGGTAATATCGAAAATAAAAGTACCACTTTATTTTCACTTCACTTTACTCTCAACTCGTTCTTCAGACACTATACCAAAATAAAGTAAACACGCACTGCTGATCTGTAGACTGTTTTCTTCATAATTAACTTCTGTAGCCTAACCCATTATAATATACAGCTGGATTTACAATCGCGCTTGTGAGGAAGACAGAAATCATCTTAGCATTCGTCAGTTGGGGACATCAAAACACAACAGCACTTACTGCTTTGCGAATTTTCACGGTAAGACTTTTTAAATCAGGCGAATTCTCCGGTCACTATGGTTAACAGTATCCATAGGATACTATTATAACAATTATATCTCGGGTTTATCTTCTTAGCTGTTAACTCTAAACACTGCAGCAAATCACTAAGGACACACCCTATTAACAGACCGTATACGGCCCTCTCCAGAATAAATTCACTATCGCTTGAACATCTAAGAATGGCTTTCCGTGCTTTGGATTATGTCAGCATGGCAACAGCAAGTCAGTACAATGTGACACCTGCACAGCAACCAAACATGTGTGATGCTAGAGCATTGCAAATCTAGCTTTCTGCAGATAGTATAGAACAAGCCTAACTCTGCAGAATCTATAACATACAATCCTCAGTTCATTTTCAAACTCTGTTACATTCAATGTAAAACAACTTGTTCAGCAACTGGTATCTCCATCCTGAGAAATTTAAGTTAGGTGTGTTAGATTAAATTAACTGAAATTATACTAGCATTTAGAATTGTTGTCCCCCTATTGTCAACTTTATCTATCACTCTAGAAGCTAAGATAAAAATGCAGAATCAACCATTATAACGTTTTAGGACGCAAGAGCAACACTGTAAACGCCAATTACTTAGTCAACATTAGTTGTGATATTGCATTAATATAAAAAGAATTCAGTATTAAATTCGATGGTTACGTAAGCGATCCCTTCACAACAATCCAATCAGATTTTTTGGAACCAACAACTTTATTACAATAATTATTAATTGTAATTTAGATGTAGCAATCCTTCCACGTCTCCTACCATAGGGACAGTAAACACGTCCGTCAAGTACACGTAACAGCGTGAACCTACCAGCTCAAAAGATCGCCGAAATACCATAACTGATCTGCCACTAAATACAATTAGGGACATAGAACGCGTACTTCCACCGTTACCAAATCCTACATTAATGTATGAGTCGTTCTGAAAAAGTGTTGTCTCAGTTCTGTGAAGGAGGGTTTCCACCATAAAAAGCGTCACCATCCTAGTTCATGTGACACATTTTCACTTTGTAGACGTGCTATCTGGCTATTCAGAATAACGTGCAACACGCCAAACGAACATGAAATGCTTTAGCAGTGCTGATTAGTGGGCATAAGTGAATAAACATTCTTGATGGGAAATCGCTTTCACTCTTTCTCCCGATACGTCTAAGGCACAGTGGAAAATTCTTGTCTTTTGATTAGGATGGGAAGCATATTCAATCTAGAGGTCATCATGAAGTAATAATTTAAGCCCTTTATTCCCGTGAAGAAGTGCTTGCCAACTCATTCTGCAGTGTTTTTACAGGAAAACGGAATGCTGACAGCTATACAGCCTGTTATCATATCATATTAGCTTCCTCCTCCATATCCAATTATCCATAATCGAAGCTGTCATTACCATTTGTTTCCTTTACATCTATCCTGTTAAATTCTTTCAGTAACACTTGTTTTTGATATTTATTCTAAAATGTTTGGAACTTTTCTTAAAACAATTGCTTCATAGTAAGACTGGTTTGGGAGCTCCGATTGCAAATTTTATCCAGAATGTTTCGGATCTTCCTGAAAAGTTACAAAACTACATACCGTGACTGTATACCGTGCAGCTATCCTTCTCCAGCTCTTGTTTATCCGAAGGATCACCTGAATTCCCTCGATGAAAATTGCATATTCACTGACTTTATACAGGACATGTTATGGTTAAGCATTCATCTGAAGAACGATAAGTGTTCCTAATTCTTTACGATAGGGAGTCAGTTGATTACAGATCGTACCTATATTAATGAGGCATTACCAGAATAATATATCGGATTTCTGAATAAAAAAGAATGAAAGGAGGTTGTTAACACAAGTAGTAGCACTACCATAGAAACCTTTCAGTGTTAGGTTGGTGAAGTTATACTGGCCAGGATTGTATATGCACATCATTATTGAACGGTGCTGAAGTGAAGAAGGGACAGTAGGAAAGCCAACAGCTCAGTTCTTGTCCTATGAAATTTGATGTATACCTGACAAGCATCGTTATATGCATAGGTAGATGGATAAATTATCGGTTGAACCGACCCTACATCAAATCATATTATACGGTAAATGCCTTGTGCTTGCCCATTCGTCCACATCCTAAATGCTTGTTTGTATCTGTGTCTGACACATCGATTACTGGTTCATATTTAGTACGATACTCTCGATAACATCCGATATACATAATTGATCGTTTTTTGGAGTCTTTTTTCAAATACACCGATTACCTAATGACAGTGAACACATTCCAGTCAAGCTTGTCCTTTACCTAGGCAAGGGATGTTCATGTAGATGAACAGATGGTGATCAAGATTGAAAGATATCCCGTTACTTGATGCGCTCGACCATTCAGCTGATAATCCTAGGTGGGACACCCCGCTTCTGCCGCATACTAACCTGCATTATGTTTATTGCTCAGAGATACTTGGCCGTATCAAGTTTCATATAAGGCAAATTTTGTTGTGCCTTTCTCCATTTTCTTCCCTTTTATTTCTTTTATTGTTATGTGACTCTCTTCATATTTTTTTTTCTGATATTGTATTAATTAATTTCAAGGCCTCGAAATCATCGTAACATCTAAATTAATAAATAAAAATAACTCCTTTAGTAAATAAATTTGCATAAAAGTACATAAAAGAGTAAACAACGGCAACATGAATAGACTGTTTCCTGCTTCGTTTGTCATATTTCAAAGGCACATGTGTATACAGAAAAGGAAACTGCGTTCAATGCATTACGCCCGTAATATATTTGAGAGAAAGGAAAATGAATGAAGATAGGACAGATATAATGAAGAGGAACAAGTAAATTTCAATAACACTCAACAAATAAAACTATTTGAAAAACGTGGGTTCATCTGAACAAACCAGAATGTGAAAAGATTCCATGGTCAAGGAAAGAGAGAAAAACTGAGATATCGGTATCAGGTTATGTAAGGGAATTATGATATGAATAAAGCTGTAACTGAATACTACGAAAGCCTCATCTGTTGCACTTGAACAACCTTTAAAAAATGTAGGAAAGAACGAAAAATTAACAATGGCAAATTTGAATAGCAGGTAAAACAATTAGGATGCATAAAACACTCTCGAGATTCCTATAAGGGCATATTACAGCCCCAAAAGGTAAGCAAATTAACGAAACGATAAAAAGTCACTATTACGATGAAGTCTCGAAGCATCAACTAACTGTCGCATAACCATTTCATAGTATTTAATGCTTTGGTAGGAATGGAGAAAGTGTTGTCATGGTGACAGCGACAGTAAAAAACCTTACCTTTCTTTTCTTTGCAGAAAGACTGCACTCAATGATGCACTTCTGCACTTTTATCTTTGGCATAATTATGTACAAGCAAAACTACGCAATGTTAATGAAACTGAGAAAAAATGCATCATAATTCGGAGTTCTCGAAGTAACTATTTATATGCTTTGCACAATCAATCAGTTGTAGCAGACACTGTGGCAAGCTACAACCTTCGCCTGCAATCTCAATTTGCAGTAGCAACCGATAAATATTCTTCCAAAGATTCAGCACTTTTGAATTACAGCGTCCTACCAAACACTGCAATTTAAATTAAGGATATGGTGAAAACTAATCAAGAGAAGTAAAAGGAGTAATCAAATTGCCTGAAAATAAATCTTCCATACCTGCAAAGCATCTTTGACGACATTTCGGACATACTGGACAAAGAGATATAATGTTTCGCGATAATTGTTAAGATCCATTAAAGAATCATCTTCCTGCAAAAAAAAATGAGTTAAAGATCTATGAATTTTCTTGCAAACAACATCATCTAAGAGCTTCAGAAGCAAAATCTCTTGTATAGTGCTACAAAAACATCACACCTGTTAGAGAATGAGTCCAAAGCTGAGCAATTTTTGGTGGGATGTGAGTAACTCTAATACAGTGGGATAAGTACCCAAAGATACAAACAAAATAACAGCAAAAAACAGCTGTTTGATTAACGCCATAAGATCGGAACTACCGAAAGTAAAAAATTATAAAATTACGTATTCTTTTTCGGATGAAAAATGTGTAGCTCTAGCTACTTATGCTCGCCCAATCAAGTGGATCTGTTTATACTGTTGAAGTGATATAGTGTATGCTTCATGCGCTTATAAATTCACACATAAAATTAATCAAAACTGAATGAAAACATTTCATTACTCCTTAGTAACATGCCGATTTTTTACCATTATTCCAATGATTTATGCTAAAACTAAGGTGAAAAAGACAAAAAAATTCCTTCACATCCAAAATGCTCAATATCAAAAGTTACATTCACAATATTGAATTAGAAAATACTAACAAAAAATTCTTTCCTCTCTTCCTCTGAAGCAGAAAGTGACGTTTGCAGATGCTGCATTAATGGCTGAGTTGCTAAGAACAATGCAGCTAATGATCGACGTGAACGTTTGATGCGTGCATCGACAGTACTAGCAGGTGCATTGATATCTGAAAATATCCAAATAATTGAAAATAGAAAACCTTCTATTAAAATCAAGTAACAAGCAAATTTCTTCCTGCAGATTTAAAAACATGAAATATGTCAATAGTGTCGTGCTGCTACTAGTGAAAACTTTGGAGTTCAGAAAAATTTTCCACTTCAAGAACTTATGAAATTTCATGAGTTCACAATTTATCAGAAGAGAATATTGAAAAATAAACAGACCTGAACATTTTGTACTCTCGAGAGCAGCTCTCAAGGCTACTATACATTCTCGGAGACATACTTTTTCTTGCTTTTTGGGTGATTTTGTCCTTGTAGTTCTTGTAGCTCTAGTAATCTTCTCTACCACATAGTTGAAACATGCCGTATAATGCTCGATCGCTTGTCGTTCATAATCTTTTCTCTTACGAGATAAGCCAATAGTGCCGTGCTGCTGCTATAACAGCGAAAAAATGAATGATAAAAGGTCTAATGCATATCAGCATGGGATTATAAGAATAATTGGAGCAGGAAATATGCATAACTCAAATCAGTTTGCAAAAGTGAGATGCGTTTTTCCCATAGCAGAAAAAATGAAACACTGTTAAGTTAGTGGTTGGAGAAGACAAACAACTATTTCCAAAGGCAGAGAAATCTCATGCAAGTATATGGTCAATCCCAATGCTTATGAGGTGATTACTGACAGCATACAATAGTTCTAAATAATTCATCGAATCGCTCCAAAAATTTGAACAATTACAGTGCAGCACTAGCAAATTAACACTATAAATAAAACCTACCGCTGCATGCTGAAATAATTTACCGAACCGAAACATTATTTCAATGATACACCGATCCGCTACAGAATGCATCTTTGGAGAGCATCTCATAGAATCACGAATCAAGGTGTAAGCTGATTGAGCACGAGCCAAAAATTCATGTATTTCAACAGTCATCTATAAAACATCTAGATAAATGCAATGGAACACAAATTTTGACAATATTACAACTCGAAAAAGTAAGCTTGCTTAAACACTTGTAGCAACGAATTCACAATATAAATAAAACAATACGACGAAAATTAGAGACGCAATTTCAATATTCAGAAAATTAAGAATCAATATAGTTTTAATTAAAACCAGTTTTCAATATCTCTTTATTCAATTAAGTGTCTATCAAAACACAGAGTTACCTTTTCAGGATGGCTTTCTATCATTCCGGGTTGTACATTGTCTTGAAGCCTCACTGCATAGGTGAGGTAAATACCAGCCAAATCCTTACTAATACTTTCAAATAATGGGAACTGAGTGCCTCGAAAATCAGCAATAGTAGTCAGCGCTCGCTGATAGTGCTCGATTGCCTGCAAATTAAAGTGATAAAAGGCAGTATGACCGAGTAAATAATGTAAATAAAGAAATATATATTTGTCTCAAAAATTTAGAGCAAAATTGTTTCCTGCCTCCCAGATCACAAATTCAAACCATTGTGAGAATAAAAAACCCATATGAACCTGTAAAACATAGTTCTTCTCTTTCTCCGGATCATATGGTAAATTGAAATCAGTAAAATACATTTGGCAGTGTAATTGCAAACGGTACAGCTGGCCAATATTTGACAGTAAAAATGCCTCGTTGACGCGATCACCAACCAAAGCAAATAGCGAAATACCCTAGAAATTTCTTGAACGCAGAAGTTCTCGATTTGCCGTCAAAAGAAAGTGTAAATCTTTAGCAGAATTAAACTTGTAATTTGTGAAAATGGAGATATAACTATTTTGTGCGATACCTGCAGAAGCAACTCTTTACCAGCTTTCACCGTCTTCTCAACCATTTCTTCTGGTTCCATAATACTTATTGCTCTACATGAAGTATCATTTGCAGTATCTAGTGCATCAACATCCATTGCTATATACTGTCGCATTGTTTCTGGAAACAAGCAAATAACTGCCTTTGCTTCTGGTCCGCTTCGACAGAAAATCTTTTTTAAAACAGAATTTCCCTTGATCTTTATATTTTGCAGAGGAAATAACCCTTACTCCCACAGTGTCGAAAAAGAACCATTAACCAGATCAAGGGATGCATAAATGAGGTAATAAGTGAACAAATAGAAATATTTACCTTTATCAGTAAACAATTTTGTTCCTTTCTGTGCCGCACGTTGTACGAAGTCTTTAAGACGTTCTATATGATGCACAGCCAAAACATTCTTCAAATTACCCAAACGACGAGCTAACTGATCCGGATAAAGAATGGCATTCGCTGTTGGTGGGAATAGAGACATTGGAGCTATAAAATATGATCAGTCTAGAAAAATTGCTAACTACAAAAGAAAAAAAAACAGAAATAAACAGAAAAGGTGAATTTCCAATTTCTGCAAAATTTTGCAGTTATGAAAACAGTCAAGTTTTATGACTTACCAATTTTTTTACCCGTTGCAATAGCTACAGTGGCAGCACGTTTCGAAATAGCCAATAGATCGACAAATGGCATGTGGAAAGTTTTCGGGAATGCCCAACTGTATGGTCGAACTGAAAATATCCTAGAATTTGGAGGAAATAATCTGCGGAATAATTTCACAGCAAAAGGTAAAATGCCAACAAAGATCCTGCTTGGCGTTGCACTGAGTACTGGATGACGTGGGTGACATTCCAACTTGCTGATATCGTGAGAGAGTTCTTTTCTACATTCTAGGAAAATTTTTCAATATTCCTACCTCTGTAAAAGAATTTGCATATACGCTCACTATCTCACATTATTTGAAGTCATAAATGCATAAAACATACTTCCAGTATAGTTAAAACAATAATGAAAATACGACTCAAAGCATTGTGAAACATAGTAACTTTTCACATGCTATGGAACCAAGATCACTGAATACAATTTTAAATATTGTGTTAATAAAAATGATATTTATTGATTGAATAAATGAAAAAAATTTCTCCATTTCCCTACTATCAATTCATTTTTATAATTTCTCACAAATCACCTAAATCTTTGTATACAGCAAAGTATATCCAAAAAATTACAATTCGTTTTTTACAGGAATGGAACGGAATCTGCAAATTTTGGAATGATATTTTCTCATGAAATTTGTTTCCTATCTTCCCTGCTCCTCGTGAGTCTCTGAGGATCACTATTCGGTAACTTACGCCTGTGACAACACCAAGTTTGCAATATCCCAGAAATATTCCATTTCAGTTAGAAAACTGAAATGCTTACATTTTTATCAGTTTTGTTTCATGCTATGCATTTTCATATTCTAGCACTTCCAACGCTTTCTTAACTTTATCACAATCTCTTATTTGTCTTCTTTGCTAGATATAACCCAGACGTGTGGTAAATTTTGCCGTATCCAGAGATTAAGTAGCAGTGTCATATTATACAAGTCAGAATGTGCTCAAAAATTATGCTTCAATTCATCGCAAATGGGATGGGAATTTCCATAAACTATAAAAAAAAGCAAACACTACTTTTATCGCTTTTGTAGACTTTTGCAAGAGATGCTTCACAGGTTCCAGCATAAATAGCAGGATTTAAATTGGCAGCAGCTGTGGGAACGGTAAAAGAGTTGGTTTTAATCTGAATGTCCCTTTCAGTAGAGTCATGGTATCCAACTTCTTTGAACTGTGTTATATCTCTCGCTTCTTGTACTTCTGAATCATTGTCACCAAACTCATCAAGTGATGAAGACAGTTGAGTTGTTGCAGCAGTAGCACCAGGAGAAAATGCCGAGTATAAACCTTAATAAAATAGTCATGCAAACATCACCGAATTAACACTGTTCACTATAAAAAATAAAGTTAAAAACGGCTTACCATGATTATTATTAAGGCAATCTAATGCCTGTGCTTTGATTTGTTTGTCACGATAGCAACGTTTCAGATCGGCCTGGAGAAGAATTGATTAAACTATAAAATTAGAGATAAAACATCTTAGTCCTTTCAAAAAACTAAACTCTGAAAATCTAAGATAGATGGATTATGTGCATAACTTCTTTATTTGATTACCACTTTTGACTCCTCCAGCACAAATGAATCTTACCTTAGCCTGATCTTTAACTGGCAGTGAACTACATGCGATGCTTCCAAGAGCTTCCGCAATATGACACATCATTGCAGGAAGTAAAGCTCGTGCTGTGGCTAGATTTCGTTGAGCATGACCGGAGATTAGACCCGCATTCAACGCCAACACCGCAACTGAAATAATGTGAATTAGTAAGCAACTACTAACTAATTATTTCTTCGTCAATAAATTACTACTGAGGTTTGTTGCTGAAAAAAAAAAAATAAAACTAGTGCAGGAAGTGACAGGCAAATAAATTGAGCAACTAAATTTACTGATCTTTAAGCTCATAAATACCTCCAAGATGAATTTTAAAATATATAATTATGTTTGGATTTATACCCGATTCCCTTATTACGCTTAGTTATTCTTGTTCGATTGTTGTTTGTGTTAATCGCATATGCATATGGTATGTTAAATTATAACACAGTTTCTTTTATTGCAGTGTACTATTTTAAATTTTCCGGCTAGTACTGCTTATAGTCGACCAGTGTAACCTACACTCAAATAACTCGAATAAAAATGTGAGCAGAAGTGAAGCAATTAACAACATTTCTATGAATCATTATGGAATAGTGGTTTACATGCAGCTCAAATCAGTTACATCAAGTTCTCTCTGACATCAAGCATTCTTGCTGATTTTTACTTCACATGGCAAAAGTAAGCACTAACGACAGCAGTACAGCCCAACACGTGCAAATCTCAATGTTCGGCCATATCTTGACAAAAGAAACGAACTATCAGCCAACATCCGATAAGCACTCCCAGCGCGAATGAACAATATGGAGCGGATATCTACTTTAAGCATTGCGTCTGCTTCTTCTACAAATAAACAGTTTAAAAAAAATGAAAAAATATTCAACAGTTCATCAAGACATTCAATATAGTTCAAGTTTCGAATGATCAGGTAATCAGGGGACATTCTCAAACGGAAGAGATGATAAGGGAGAAAAAAAAATGAATAGTGAAGGAATAAACAATGAATAGCAGCTGCACTAGCCTCTCCCATGATCAATGTTCGCACCCATGTCTCGAATGAAAGACATCGGATCAGGCAAAGGTTTTCCCAACCGCTGAGCCTCTTGTTCCATTTGATCAAATAAATCCATATATCGTAAACCCTACACATGAATAAAAATATGTACGTAAAAGAATGATAATAAATATAATTTGATCAGTGAAAACATTAGCATGCCATCCCTAGATACTCCGCACAAGTCATTCATCCCAGGGCATATATAGTCAGCGAAAATTTGTGGTATCCTTCTGCTATTAAATGATCCTAATGCCTAAGAGGAAAGTAGTGAAGTAGCGTCATTATCAGTTTTCAGTTTTCATTTTCATATTATCCAAGTTTATAGTTTTTGCGATGAAAATGAACTAGCCTCCAAGCAATGTTCTAGGGCTTCCTTACAGCAGTCTTCCTTGGTTGCGCAGTTCGGTAGCGTGCGCAACTTTGGTGGCTTCTCACCTTTACTAGCTGTGTAACGTGTCTTCATCAATGACTCAATCTGTAAATAAATGATTTCAAAGGAACAAAAGTCTATAAATATAATCTCCCAATTTTATCAGATCAGATATATCATCCAGCTTCATTATCAAATCCTTAATCTAAACAAACTAAAATCGTTGAATTGTGCATTAAAAGTAGATCGAATTCAATTACAAAACTTAATGACACAACTTTACCTGAAAAGAATAAGATTGCAATTAATCCATAAAACATTAATCCACAAAACATCATTTTCTTTTTTCATGTCCATTTATGTAAATTTTATTCAAACATTTCTTAATTCTCACCGAAATAGCCGCATAATTGGCATATTCTTCACCGTATTCGCGCTGCCACCTATCATCGTAGGTCCACTGAGGTTCGGCACGTTCCATCTCCTCTTCTTGACCAGCAGTACGTTTTACTGCGTCACAACCATATGAAAGATATAAGTTGGCCAGTAAATAGTATACACATGCTACTATCTAAATAAAATGTAGACTATAGAGTAAATTAACTATTTCAGCAAAGCCAATTCTAATGCAAGAATCACTTACATTCATGTTATTGGGTATTCGTGTAATCGGTTATAGTCGTGATATCAAATTAGATTTAAACCTCATTTTAATGCAAAAGAGAAAGAAGCCAACATTAAAAAATAGAATTAGAAAATCATATTTGATACTGACAACACAATGTTCGAGAAATGCCCCCATAAATTAATTATATCTTCCTACACTAATATGATTTGGAACTAAGGAATAAATAAAATTGACAACAGTAACAATAAACCAACCTGCGGATGTTTTTTACGATCAATAATACCTAAGCATACATTCAACAGACGAAATGCTGCATTAGCAATACGTTTTGGGCGTCTATGCGCTGAACGACGCATAAGATTACGAGCTACCTGGAAATAAAAAAAAATGCAAAAGAAATTGGATCAAAATCATAATCAAAAAATCTTCAATCAAAGTAGTGACGAACTCGTTACTTTATTTTGTCACTATTTACGGCACGTAAACAAGATAGAGGACGGTTTTCCTTAGGAAACAAATGAGGCCGAATAATTCCGAATTTCTTATTCTAAATTTCTTGAACAGAAATTTCAAATGAAGTTAATGTAAGCAGACAAAATCAAACTGGAGGATTTGGAATTAGATGTGAAACTATGTTTTAAGAGCTGATGTGAACCAATGATTTCTTACTTTATAGATAAGTATTCCGACACTAAGCGTAAACGGATTAGCTGTAGAATCTTCCAACAGATCACCACAGAGCGGCGTCAGATCCCACAATCGTAACATTGGTTCACGATCATTGTCTCCTTTGTCTGTGTTAAATAAATATTTAAAGCAAGAATGATCTTACAAAAGAACAGAGCTTTCCAAAACTTTTACTCACTTGATCCATTCATTTCAAAACTTTTTCCTTTATTCTCTTGACCCACTCATATTTTTTTATTGATGAACAATTGATGCCTCTTCCACAAAAGGTGTCTTACCATGACACAACCAATATGTGTGCCCCTCCTGCGCAACTTTGTCCTGCAGGAATGCAACAATATTTTCAGCAACATTCCTCAAAACAAGCGGATCAAACTTTGAATTTTCCAAATGTGGAATATCTTCTGTTCGAATCAATTCATACTCCTGAACGTAAAATAAATGAGTGAGTAAAATGGTTGAATAGATATAGAAACTTGGATATCAAATCTAAATATATCAATCCATAAAATTTCCTTTCCTTTGGGCAAAAAAAAAGATGCTTTTAAACAAGGCGACAACAAATTAGGCATGATATTTAAATAATGAAAACTTGCCTTTACATAGCCACCTAAATGCCAACAAAGTAATGCTTCAGGTGCATTACACATTGATTGATCTAAATACAAATCCACACCAGTTAAAAAGTTGATAGGGCGTTGTTTGAGATCTCTGCAAATAGACAAAAAAAAAAATCATTTGCCAAACCACTTCTTTTTGAATAAAAATAAAAGAACTAACAGGTGTGCAACATAACAAGTGGATGAACTAACTTGGGATGTAGAGTAACACATGGGTTGGATTTGCAACCAAATATGGGTAAATTAACATCAACGAGCATATTGAGATCATAAAAATTCCACAATCGACCGTAAGCATCCAGTTCGACCTAGACAAAAAAAAGCATACAAATTCATCAGGAGTGCTTGATAGTTTAGGTCAATGAGCATTATCCACTCCTTATTTTGTGTTTGTGTTAAAATCCTCCATCCTCCACCAAATCTCAATTCAAACTATTCAGATTGCTATCTGACTTTATCCAAGTATGAAGGAGCAGTCTTTGTCTTTATATTAAATTTTTGGATAAGTAAACATAATTTACTTCGCCATCATCCACTCTTATTTTTGTGTATAAATAGTCTTCCAATGGATCGAGTAAACCACCATTTTCGTTAACCATTTTTGACGATTCACTTCCATTATCTGAGAAAAATTAAGGAAAAATAAGCCAGAAATTGTGTAAAATAACTATATGTGTGAGAAAAATATACTTTTGTTGGTCTGTACAGGAATATCTGGTTCTGCAGTAGATGCCATATAATCCAGCGGTGCCAAACTGTAAACATAGAAAACGAATATACAAAAAGCAAAGAAAATTTTATTCGCTAAATAAAGTATTGTGGAAATCCTTTTTACGAAAGATTTAGCACTGAAGACCACAAGATTTGAGTAAGCTTGCTTACCTTCTAGTGTACAAACTTTCAGTTATCATTTTTCGATGCATATCGGCAATGATATCACCAGTTGTACTTCCTGTTCCTGTTTTGGCACCAGCAATACCAACAAGACATTGAGACTTAGAATTGAGAAATTCTGCCACAGGAGAAATACCAACAGTTGAATTCATATAGGTATACTGAAAATACGGAACTTAAAATCCTAAAAAACTCAATATCTCTGAGTCGTTTTTTTCCAAGTTCGAAAGATTTACATTTTTCAGATAGGCACAATTATCCAGCAGTAGCGTTTTTCCAATTTTGTGAACTATTAAATTTAGTGGTTGTTTGGAGAAGGGTGTAGCAATTAGTTTTTTCAACGTTTCAGCTTCAGCAACGACATCAATACCACCAACTATAGCATCGATATAGCAATCAGCAAGACGAAGACTGCAAAATATCTACATTATAAAAAAGAAATATTTTAAACCTGAAGCATAGTGAACTGGGACTTTTATAATGAAAATTGCTTAACGTAAATTTAAACTTCTTCCGAAAAACTAATTCTGCAGAGCACTACACTCTGCACGCAACTCACGTACGTCAAGTAGAGAATAGTCCCGATAAATTTGTATTCCTAATTCTGATTTGAAAAGATATTAAACGATGGCTCGTTAGTTACCTCTCGAAACAATCTCTAATTCGAGTACTGAAACGCCACTGTCCAATACCGCTTCTACCCCCACTTCCCGAAAAATTCCCCGATGCGGCAGTGCTAGTCGCTGTTCCATGGCTTGTTTCTGAACTGTTCGCCATTTCTGTCCAGGAATCATCGTATGTATCGGAAGACCATGCATTGAGTGGTGGCACATTCAAATTAGTATTGAGTTCCAGTTTTACAACTGGCAACGGTGTCGGTTGTATTGTACTAGGCAAACAACTGAATATTTGATAATGAGCGGAAAAAATTTTAACTTTCGAAAAACGAAAGAATAAAGAGTACTTCTACAGTAACTTTATTTCTTTGAAACTAAAATTGAACCGCTACTCCAAATGTCAAAAATATCCGACTTTGAAATTCAAAGAATCGCCAGCATCGAGCTTTTCCCTAAAACTGACTCACGATAAGAACTTCAGTGCACATACGCACACACACACACACGCACGCACACACACACACACACAAACACACACTCCACACATGTCCATCGCAGCATCTATTCACGGGTTCCAAAATGTTATATCAAATCATAAAAAGGTTTCAGTAGATCAATTATTGCTTGTAGTTGAAGTACTATGTTAATATACATCATACCTAGGCAAGACCTTACTGTAGCAGGCATAAAAATATTACATTATAACAAACATAAATCAAACTAACAGGATTGGCTTCGCATCGTACGCAATCATCGATCTATCATTAACTGTCGGACTAAATGTCGATGCCGATGATGACGGTGTTTCTGCCATTAATCATCAAACTTTCGAAGAAACTTCAATGCAAAATAACCGTTATTTTTCTTTTCTTTTTGCAGATATTTTTCGAATAAAATTTCACAAGTTGTAATACCAATCGCAAATTTTCACTTTCATTTTGCTAGAAATTTATCAATTCTACAGAAAATAGTGATTCATCGCACCATTTTTCAAAATACAATTCTGAATTCATAGAACTTTTCTACCTTTCTTGATCCAAACTAAACTCTTTATTGCTGCACTCTTACCTACAATTACTGATAATGGCAAAACAGAATTTGGTCAAATAATCAAACAGCACTGCAAGAGCTAACCATTTCGAACATGGGAACAAAACAGATGAGATTCACGAACAGTGTTGTGAAATGCAGATATGGAAAAGCAGAGGAATCGGTCGAATGAAGTCCTAAGTCACGGAATCACAACAAGTTAAGTACCTGATGTTAAGCTACAGCTAGATCACAAATACCGCATGAACGCGAACAGTGTAATGGTTGTTGCCGATGATAAAGCGATG